AGTGGAAGGTTCCACCAGAAAAGCACTTCTCCGGCATCCCTCAGGATGGCAGAAGTATAAAGCATTGCTCCAGGAGGCCTCCATGCTGACCAGCAGATATAATTCCCACCCCAACATGCTGAGGTCACACAGAAGCAGCCCACAGCAGAGTGCAGCAGGGCTCCTCTGGTGGAAGGGGAAAGAGACACTGACATTTGGCAACATTATTTTGCACTCTCAGTCTGCCAAGTCCATGCTTTTGTTTGCTGGAAGTGCTTACCAATTGCCTCCCTCCTCACCCCCACTCTGAAAAATATTGGAAAATAACTTTGAGGTTGAATTTCCAATGCTACGGTATTTTTGGCATCTCCCTCAGTTTGTGTCTTAGATTAGATTTATATTGGTGACACATCAGTCAACCTCATCTCACTGCTCATTTCCCAGGTTTGTGAAACTGTAATTATAGCTATTTGATCATGAAAGAGCTCAACTACTACCGCTTTTGTTCTGGTAATAAGACCAGAGACAAAAAGCTTGATGTAGCCATAAAAACAACCACAAACCCACTGCTATACCCAGCTTGAAATCACAGATAATTTCTAAATCCTTCCTTCCAAGGGAACCTCCAAGTTCCATCATCAGTCACCAACATACATTATTTTTATGTAATGCCCAAAGTGAGATAAGTGATTTGCAAAGGAACACAGAGGCAGAGCACTATGCTAATATATTCTGCAACTGCTCCCCATTAGTCACTGGGGGTACTTGAGCTCTTTATTGCCAGGGTTTATTAATGACTCCTAATTGATGACCAGTGCCCAGCACCCCAAAGTAAATAACTGCTATGCCTCATTAGCTCAAGAGACCTTCTCCTGATTTGAGGATTGATCTATGGACACACAAATTGCACTGATTTAACCAAATCTCTTTCTAAATTGATTTAATTAGACTGGTATAACCTGTTTCTATGGATGCTCTTGAATTTATTTGGAATTAGTGCAATGTACTTCTTGAGCCAGACTAACCATTTTTTTTATCTTGCTCCTGAAGCAGAAACATTTGAGATCATTAGTGATGAGGCAAAAAACCAGCCCTGGCACCATCCCAGTTCCTCCTACTTCTGATCCACCTGACTTTAGGGTAGGGTATGGTAACTCCACTGTCCCAACATTTACAAGATTGGCACCCTAAACCTCAAGTATTTTATTCCACAAAAGGAATGTAAGCACTATTTATGCACAACTTTAGACACTCTGGTTGAACACAATGCCATTGCTGATTTGCTTAGTATTTTACTGCTAATGGTAAATTAGTGGTTTACACTGTTTAAAACCAGATCTCTCATCTTCATATTACAGAGCAGCAACTTGAGGGAGGTTAATAATTAAACAAACTGTTCAAAAGCTTCTGATGAGAATAAAACAAGTGAACCTGCTTAGGTGAACCTTCAAAACTCTGCACTTGCATTCCTATTGCCTGGTGCAAGGCAAGGCTGTGACCATTCCTGGCTCCAGGTAAATTAGACTCTTCCTGTCTCTGGATCAGTGAGATCCTAAAGGGCACACATTAGGCTGTGCTTGGCAGAGTAAAGCCTGCTGAGAAATTGCTTTCAGCACTCTGACAGAGCCCAGGGCTGATGAGGATTCAAGTTTTAGTTTTTAATACACAGGATTTCCTCCCCCCTGCCCCTTATTCTGGGCTTTAATATGATCCTTTAGATAGCAAATACTTATCCTACCAAGAGCCCTGGGAAATAGTTGTTTGATTTTTATTCCAAGTTTTGCAAGTTTGCTGTAAAGCTTCAGTAAGACCCACCACAGACAACAGAGTCAATAAAATAGTCTGCAAAGTTCCTCAGATCTGAGGTTTTGAGATAGCTGATGAGAATAAAACACACCATACACACCAAGCTTCCAGCATGGCACTTACCAGTGTGTTTAAATTCATACTGGCTCAAGCTATAAAATTTTCCTTCCCCTTCAGAATTTTCCTTCCCATTCAGAAGTATTACTGAATGCTAAATTTATGTTCTTGTAAGTAAACACTCACAGCCTCAGAAAAGTCACCTTTTTCAGGTGAATGTTACTATCAAAGCAACTCACCTGATGCTCCAGAAAAACTGGGATGCCAAATTTAATGTCTAGAGCCAACCCTCTCTGGCTCATCTGCTTGCTGATTTGGTACCTGTGAAATTTTGCTGTTTAGGGCTATATTTTGAACTATTTTAACTATCACTATTACAGATGTACCTATACTTGCATGCATTTATTCCCACTTCTAGTAAAAAAAGGAAGAGTAGACAAAAGCCATAACAGACAGCACTGAGAAAGCTGAAGCTAGGTGAGATCTGACACTTGCTCACTTCCCATCTTGCAGATGAAGACATTGATGCCTGCAAGCCAAGCTGTAATAATGGACCATGAGAGTTTCTATTCTGGCATCAGTCACAAGACTTTATTCACCTCACTTTCAGCAGAATCACCCTATTCCAGCTGTTATCAGAGACTTAATCTACATACAGCCCCATTTTGTTAGGACTACAGCTATGCTGCACAAAACATACAGCACATATGTTCCTCATGGTAAGCTTGGAAAGAACGTATTTGGAGATGTACTTATCTTCACGTCCTGCACAAGTCATGCTCTCATGGAAATAAAAACAAATTAAATGAAGATTAGGGCTAATCAAGCCAACCAGAGCAAGCTGTTTTCCTGTAGACTGTGCTGTATTTTACATCCAGGCAGTACTTGGGATAGGCAAGACTCTGAAAGCACTGTAGGACTAAGCACAGCTCCTACTTAGCACCCAACACCAGGCAGCACTGGTTATATTCCACTCCTAGAAGAGCTCAAACAGGATTTAAACCACAAGGTCAAACTATGAGATCAAAGATGTTGGCTAAGACCTACATTGACACAGCAGGGAAGAAAAAAGAGTTTGTGGCTAGCAAAAGTGCTATTCCTCAAACAGCATGTTAAACCAAGGTCATACCTGACCGTGTTGGCTCTCCATGCAAGGTGGAGAAGGCTCCTCCTGGCCAACTGCTCCATCTCACTATAAAGTGGATTGCAACACCAAGGGAGGTGCCTGCACTGCTGCTGAGCACAAAACTGCCACCTTATTTGCTTACACAGAACAACCATACCAATTTCTACCTCAGCTCCTTGCAAAAGGTTTGGAGCCACCTGTTCAAGATTTTTCATTAGCTTGTGACAACAAGTACAAGAAATGCTGTGTTAGAGTTTTAACATTTTGGGAAAGTTCTCAGCAAGCTTGGGAGGCTGTATGGAGAGATATCAGTGTTTATCTTTTAATTTCCTGGAACTGAGATGATGCAAGACATTCAATAAAACAAATGGGATAACATACACATAAATGAGAGACTGCAAAATGACAGCAAACACTGCTCAAAAATTTAGTCTTCCCTGACTGTTCATTTGAACTGAAAATATGACACTGTATTCTGAAAGATCCTCCAGGCAATCACTTAGGTATTGGAGTTAATATTATACCCATGATTAGTAGACTGGAACAGTAAAAAAACCAACCAAACAAAAAACCCAGCTGTCCTTATTCAGTAGCTAATGTCACTTACCTTGACAGTTTTTAAATAGCAGCCATTCTAGTTCAGTAAATGCCTTTCTGCCATGCTAGCTGCAGAAGCTAGAAAAAATTAATTTGATATAAGGTACAAACTCTCCCTGAAGGCAAACACTGTCCAACATTAAAACCTTCACTGAACAATCCCTAATGAATGTGTTGATAAAGAAATAACTATTTGAAAAAGGAGTGTTAAGGTAGCATCTGAATAGCTTTCTATTAAAAAGATCCAGTATTACTTTTTTTAGTCAAGATAACTGAAAAATGGGAAGCCTTGCCCTTCCCCCACATCTTGAGCTAGGAAAAGGTTACTACCTGGCAATGATACAGGCAGTTATTGATTTAAATGATTATGGACCTGAAAAGTTCTTTCCTGTCATTTATTATCCTATTGTAGGTGCCACCACACTCGTGCAATATTAAAAAAAAGGCTTAACAAAGTGACACTACAAAAATAGTATTTTTAACTGAACTCCTTTGCAGATAATTACCTGATTGTTTCTTCTTGATATAAAGAGCTGACAACTGGGCCTCCAAATGCAGTTTTGCTTTCCTTTCCCCTCTTCTCTGTCACCTGAAACAGAAATAGAAAGGTTGGTCCAGCATCCTGGATCCCATCCTCTTCCAACCTGTGCCACCCCTCTGCCATCTCCCACCCCTTCCCCTGCCCCAGAGATGGGATCAGCCCTCTGGAAGCCTCCTCCTTCAGGAAGACCATACCCCACCACCCTGCTCCACCCAAAACAGCTGAATGGATCTCTTGGCAAACTGGATCAATGCTGTTCTCAAGGTGGCCCAGAAGGGTAATCTGAAAGGTGGCTTTGGCAGCCTTGCTGTCCCACTCACAAGCCAAAGTGTTGCTTGTGCTGTAGCCCTGGCCCCTCAGGACCCAAAAGCTGAGCTTCTGTGAGGCAGCATAATGTCATGTTACTAGATTGCAAAGCTTGCCTTTCTAAATCTATTTAATATAGATTTAAAATTAAATTTTATAATGGGCAGCATTTCCAAATGATTTACTCCCAGGGACTCTAGGATTCTGAATGATTCCCACCATAATAGAAATGAACAATTAGAATAATGATTGATCGATATGGAGGTTCAGGCCTACTTTTTTTTTTAAAAAAAGCAACAAACCAACACAACCAAACCACATCACATCTTGCAGCTTGGGAACTTCAACTGTCTTACTTTACATTGCGGCCATACTTAGAGAAAGGGGACGTGCCTGTAGTCTGAAAGCCTGATCCCATTTCAGCGTGTGCAGGGCACCAGAACCCTGAACTTACGGAGTATCTTGGTCTTTGGGTAACTCAAAACTGATGTGCAATTTGCAGCAGTCATTCCTTACAAACCCAGCCCATTAATTGCAACATGCAGATGCCCATGGGTAGTTCTGTGCATTTCCATTATGAGAGATTATCACACCCAGGGTGAACAAAAACAGCAGCAAAAGGAAAGCTGTCCCAATCTTGCAGTGACTCAGTAGCTTTAATACACTGCTGATTACACCAAGAGGTCTTGCTGCCTCATTTGAATTGTACCTAGAAAGATGTTGATGCTTACATTTATTTTTTTTTCCTGCTCCCTAGGTTGCTTTTGGTTTAAATCAATTTACTGCTTCCTCATAATATATTTACTTTTACATTCTGCACAATTTGAGTCAGTTCCACCTCTCAGCTCTCCTACACCAGCAAATGCTGGTAATATTTGGATTTGCAGATATCACAGACATACTTCTCTAAGAAAAACTGGAAAGGAAATTGGCTTTGAAAACTATTCTAAGCCAGGTAGGTGCTCTCTAAGTTAGAGTATAAGATGACACCAAGTTCTCCTTTCCTGAAGGGAAAGGGCTTCAGAGTCTTTACAGTGCAATGCCCCTCTTCATAAATTATTTAGCAGAGAACCTGCTAGTCCATCAATTGTTTCCACACCACTTATAAAGAAAATTAATTTCAAATCATCTGCTAGTACATGCAAGAGTTACTTCTTTTAAATGAAGTTACACTCAAAAATAGTCCACATTTGATACTGAGGGACAGTAGTCATTCAACTAGTATAAGAAACTACAAAAAACTTTTAATCTATATTCTTTTACCTCTTCTCACTACACTTTTTGTTTGGTGCTTTTTTCAAAGTCAGAAATAAGCCTTGAGAAAATACATTTCATCTCTCTACAGGCAGAAAAAGGTCTCTTGGATTAAGTTCACCTTCTTTGCACAACCAATGCATTTCTACCACAGATTAATCATGTTGATTGAGTACACATAAGGTCATGGGGAAATTGAGTGATAAAGGCTTTCCCAAAAATGCTCAGGCAAAAACTTTTCTGGCTCTTAATCTATATACAAGTTACTTTGTCCAAGTAGCTTTTATCTCATCTCTTTCACACAGAAATAGGCAATATTCAATGTATGTATGTTGAACCAGGCTTATTCCATCCAAGTCCTTGATATGTAGAAGTTTATGAAAAATGTACCAGAGAAGTCTCAGCTAACCTCTTCGGATTTAAGGCACACCTCTACTCTGCAAAGTTATGGCTGAACCACTCATCACCACTTGGTCTTCAAGGGGAATCAGTCCAGACTACAAGGAACACTCCTTCCCAAAAAGGTGAACTCTGCCTCAATGCAGGTATCAACTGGTTCCTTTCCATCTGCCCTTGACAATTTGCCTATACCATGAGGTCATCTGCCCACTTCCAATATCCATAGTACCCAGCCTGCCAGGGACTAGCACGCAGTATCAGAGCACAACGTACCAAACTGGGTAATCAAGAGGTGGGACCCAGCAGTTGCTCCTTCCAAACCACGTCACAGCTACTGCGCTAACAGGAACCAGCGTTTTTATTTGTGGCTCATGTGAGCTGATGAGATGAGTAACATGCAGATGCACTTTCCTTCTCAAGTCTCTTAATATTTCTAAAGCAGAAAAGGGCTTTTAGGGCTGGAAATAAAAGGGAAACACTACATATACACAGATAAAGACTGGAGAGTTTAAAGTCACATTAGCTTGCAAACCACAATTCAATTAAAACCTGACACTGCACATTCTTTCTCCTCCTTTAAAAAAGGCACTAATAATTAACTATGTGGCTCTCAATTAAGCCAGCTCCATTTCTTTCACTGCTGGCAGTGCTGTCCAAAAGCACTGCAGATACACATGTAACTAATGATAGTTAAGAAATAACATGATCCTAGGCTCCCATAATTTGCAACCTGAATCCGTGAGAGATGACAGCAGCGTTATCCACAGTCAGGACCATGCAAGAGAGATGCTGCAGAAAAGGCAAAATTACTGTGGGTTCCATGAGGGGGTTGCCCTCAAACTGCCAGTTAAAAAGTGTGGGAATAAAGGGAAATTTGGCACTTGAGTGCCAAAGTATAAGCAGTGGAATGCAAGAGAGCTGGGCGGAGATGACAAAGAAATTTAAGAGATGCCTTAAGAGGCACTGGAATTTCTTGTGTTCTTCCCTAACTCTTGCCCATTGAGTCTTTGATGGTCCTGTACAATTAAGGCTGATATCAAAGCCACAATTACTCTTGACAGTTAACTTTGGTAGGTGGATCTGGTTTACCAAAGCTAGCATAAATCAATATGTGCTTCAGTATGCAGCATATGTATTCATTAAAAGACATTTTCAACTCCCTTGACTCCCAATGTGCTCACAGGCTGGCACAGGAAACTCCACTAAGCCCAGAACTATCTTTCTCAAATGTCACCAGGAATGC